CCCCCCCCCCCCCCTCCCCGTTTTGATGGATATCCATACTACATTCCATCCACACACGTCTTTTTACTATCGCTAGCATAAATGCGATGTCCTGCTGGATTCCTAATATTTTTTTGTGGTCCAATTACTGGATGCGTTTGTATTAGGACGGATGATGTAATTCCAAAACCGGCAAGAGGATTGGAGACCTACTGTGTCAGCAATAGGTCTATCAACATTCTATTGAATCGCACTGGCAAAGTCCCCACACTGAACCTCGTGAATTCTAAATACCAAGACGTGTCGAGGGTATCCACCCATGATTAATGTTAAGCTAAGTGCCACGTGGTGCGCGTTGAGGTTTATCCCATGGCATTTTGTCGTTAACCTTGGCTGTATTGGCACCAACTCTTCTTCCGACGAGGACCAGATCGTTGACTTTGATGTCTTTTTGTACGATATACTCACGTGGATTCATTTCCAATAATACAAAAACTATTATTCAGCGTTTAACACCAACGAACATATAGCTAGTTCCAATCCCAATTCGTGCTTCGGCAATCAGACTTTGCATTCCGGGGCTATTGCGGTTTTGTTGGAACTAATTTAGGGGATTGCGGGCCGGTTGTCCTGTTGGTTGATTTGAAGAAAGATTCGGCCAAAGAGGTCCGTCCAAGTTGATCTTTCAACAGTTTAAACATCACGAGCAGAGTCATTACTGTAGGAATGTGTAACTTCGTTCTATTTAATATTGGGTTCTAGTCGTTTTTAATTTCTAGATGGAATCTCTGGTGTTGTCTTCTGAAATGAAGGCCTGAAAAGTATGTCTTTGGCGTATATTCCTTTTCTCATAACAAGTTTTCCCTTAGGGAAACACGGTATGTTCTCACTCTGCCCATTATAGACAGGTATGACGATGCTATGGTACGGTCTTTTCATTCGGCCTCAAAAGATTATTTTTTTACTGTACATAGCTTCCTCTACAAAGATAGGCAGTTCATTGTGATTTTTTCTGCGAGTTGATGATTAAGGATGGGGCTTAGTGTACAAATGAATCGGCAAAAGAGTCACTATCACTCAAACCTTGATGGATGGAATCAACTAGCCAACTCCTTTCTTTTTCCTTGTTCTCGGCAATAAGCTTTAGGATAAATATCATTACTAACTCTAGGCAGATCATTTATTTAAAGAACCCTAATATTACTTCAACCCAGGTAGTTACTGGGCAAATATTATGACCCAAACTTGGCAAGCATTCTGAAGCTTGGCAAGAATATGTTTAAGCTTTTTCACCCATAGTAGTCTATGTTAACCTTTACCGTGGCCACCTCTCAAAGTTGTCAGTTGCTCAACACAATAAGTTAGAACAAGAATAATCACAGGAACGAAACAATATACCCTTGTTCACTGCCATGTACATGTAGCATACACTTCAGACTCATTGCATGACAAAGAGACATACTTAAAATTCTTCAGATACATTGCATGGAAATGTACTAAAAATGAAACAATAGTTGCACTATAGTACATAACTAAGTTAACGTAACATTTATGTGTTGCAAGAGGAAAACATATTGAACTTAAACCAGATGAAGGAAGGAAGATATAAACATATGTAATATATCCCTTATTAACATTTTAAAATATTTAATTCATAGCGATTGCCTCCCTTTATTCATGTTTCAAGCATTAAACATTGCCTTACTGTGCCAATGTGATTCATCTTAAACAATTTAAACAAATTTAGAGTGCTGCTTAATTACAGATGGATTTCACTCACATTTTAACTTAGCCTTTGTAAAGAATAATTATTGACAAGGTTTGACAAAGTTAATTTGCTAAAACAGACGACCAATCTGGGGGAAGTAGGAGTTATATCCAGATTTTGAATTTGAACTCTCAATCGATAAAACTAAAGCGAAATATGAACACTGGCAAGATTTAAATAAAAACAAGAGGCCCATAGGGCCTGTATCGCTCACCTGGATATCTAAGCAATCATGGCAGAATATTCTCCAAATGAGATCCATGGGAATATGCAAGACCCCAAGGCCACTCCTTGTAGCATATATATCTGTATTCGATTTTTCATGCCCAGCAATTTTATGTATGGTTATGGGGTGGGGATCTCAAGTGTTTCCAATCTGTGACTCAGAAACTAGGTTCCTATGGTTGTGGCCAGACCCCAGAATCAATTCTAATATCATGACTGCATTTGTCTCTTTTTGCCCAGCATTTGTATTTACAGTTTTGGGGTGGGGATCTCAACCGTTTCAAAGTTATGACCTAGGGTTTAAGTCTGCAAGGGTGGGGCAAACCCAGGGGTCAATTCTAATATCATGACTGCATTTGTCTCTTTATGCCCAACAATTGTATATATAGTTTTGGGGTGGGGTTCTTAACCATTTCGAAGTTATGACACAGGGGTTAAGTCTACAAGGGTGGGGCAGACCCCGGAGCCATCCTGGAAGCATATGTGCATTCATCACTTTATACTCAGCAATTGTTTATAGTTATAGGGTGGGAATCTCAACTGTTTCCAAGCTGTGACTAAGATACTAGGTCCCTAGGGGTTCGGTCAGACCCAAGGGTCTATTCTAATATCATGACTGCATTCGTCTCTTTATGCCCATGCCAGCATTTTATATATAGTTCTTGGGTGGGAATCACAACCGTTTCAAAGTTATGACACAGGGACTATGTATCCAAGGGTGGGACTAGACCCTAGAGCCATCCTGGAGGGGGGCAGACCCACCATTTGTACAATTTTGAATATGGCTGATATCCATCTCTTAGTTCCAGAGAAGAAGTCGCTTAAAGCAATATAGCCAAATTGCCTTCTTTTGGCCCTGCCCCTCAGCCCCCTTGGGGGTCAGCCATACCATTTGTACAATTTTGAATCCCCACCACCTAGGGATGCTTCCAGTAAAATTTAGTTCGGACGACGGACAGACAACGGACAGACGACGAACGCCACAGTATGGCATTAACTCACATTGGTCCTTCAGACCCGGTGAGCTAATGTCATGTCCTCCGATCATGAACTTGGGTAGTGGCAGCATAATTTTCAAATTTACTATCGACATCAACATAATAAACGTATTAGAAAATTGTTTGATCTGCAGGATTGACCTTTGTAACTTCCCCAAGCATAAATTAATGGTTCTAGACTTCAGGAGTATTAGGTGAATTACAGACTAAAACACCACCAATTTATGTATGGTGCAAGTATTGGGAAGCAAAACTACACTGAGGGCTGCTTTTTTCAGTTGTCGTCTATTGCAATTAGCATGCATCAGTTCCTATAAAATTGATAGTTTACACTTCGTTTTAGTTTTGAATGAACTCATGCCCTTATAAATGTTAAACATAGCTGATTATTTGTAGAATATAGAATGTGGTTTGATGTTTTGTTATCATTATTATGGTTTTCATACAAAATTATCAAGTCTCATTTTCATCTCTTCTAATGCAGTGCACAACCAATCAACTGTGATAGATTTATGCTACAAGTTAAGAACACATACATGAAAACTTTGAACTTCAAATTTTATTCACTCACAATTACATGTTTGTTTCATTCTGACATGTACATATGTTATTGTCAGCTTATTAACTAAATCCTGATATATACATGTATGGTGTTAATGATAGTCAATTTTGTTCCTTTCAGAATTCTATGCCTATACCTTGATGATAACAGCCAGCCTTGACGTAAGGCGTTTGACCTTTTTTGTACCATCTTTCCGTTCGAAACTTCCACCAGCATGCTCGCCTCACATTTCCTTTTGAAGTATCGTCCACCATTAATTTGTGCTTACTAATTTTTGCCATTTGCTTATGTCTAGGTTTGATTTTACACTCAACAAATAATCTTCCATGTCTGCGAATATAATAGCATCCAGAACAACGCAGAGACAAGACTGTTTTCACTTTGTATGATCGTGTGAATTGTAAATTGGTGCTGCTGTTGGTCAGCAATGTTGTTACTCTTGGTGCGAGGGTGCTGCTGCTTTTTAGATTATGGGAGCTGACAGCATGACTCAGACTGCCTCTCTGACATGTAAATAATCCTTTTGAATCTATTCCAAATTGCCGATGAAATCCACTTGAAACAGTGGGTTGTGATACTGCTTGTTGTACTGGTAATCTAACTGGTCTTGGGTTTACTGTCAGAAGACGACTTCCAAACACTCTGGTGATCTTCCCAATTACATTCATGATGTTGTTTATTTCACTCCATATACCTGAAACGAGAAAAAATGCATACTATTGTTCCACTTTTAAAAAATAAAAAATAATTTTCAGAATAAACTGGTACACTTTTCAATACTAATTTCTTTTCAGAAAAGATGTAAGTCAATGCCAGTACTCTTCTTATTATTATCATTGGTGAAAAGTTCCATCAATTTTAACACTTATGCCAGTATCATGTTTGGTGGACGGAATTTCGTGAAGATATGTACAGTGATTTCCTTTTTTTAGTAGTTTTATAGTGGCTATGATAAAAGAGTGAATAAAATTGTAGATGTATTTTTCATGCAGAAGTGAGGACTTCAAGGACTGTGTACAGGATTATATGGGTGTTGAAGTCCTTTGGTGTTGTGTACTGCTGCTACCAGTAGGATGTTCCATTGTGTGATGTGTGAGAATAATAGAATCTTTCACCCCCTTGGGGTAGAGACAGGGTAATCTTAACCCGAGGGGTAAGATTCTTAAGTTGTCAAACACGAGGCTTGCCGAGGGTTGAGTTCACCCTGTCTCACTCCCAAGGGGGTGAATGATAATTTTTCTCTTACCCTGTTTACCCTCTTATGTATTTTATATAGACGTTACATCAATGCAAGCCAATGTTGATGTGATGCGGCTGAATTGTCGATTTGATGTCATTGTATTTTTGCCATGACGTCATCGTATTGTTGCCGTGACGTTATGTTATTGTTGCTATGACGTGATACAATTGTTGAGAACGTGCAAAGAACACATGTAGCTTGTCTCAACCCTAGGGTGAGATAAGAAAATCTCACACCGGTAAAATGGTGGATATCCCTGTCCAGGGTAAGAGAAAATGAGTATTTGTATGTGTCTTTGGTAGTTTCGGGCACATACATCATACATTCGTCCAAGTGAACGTAAGTTAAGTTCAGCCTTATTTGTTTTATCTGTCCACAGGAACAGATAATCTGGTTCAGAAATTCTGACAATTCAAAGGTGACAGTGACCACAGTGACCTGAGCATTTGTTACAGCTATATTTGGACCTAGCTAAGGTGTTCAGAGTAATTTTACATATTTCAGGGTTTTAGATCGGCTTTCGGTAAAAATGGCACCCCAAAAATCATAAGTTTATGTCCAAATATAGCTGTAACATATTCTCAGGTCCCTGTGACAGTGACCGGTCATATGCCTACATTGACTTAAAACATAAGCTGGCGATATCATTTTCCCCTTTTTGAAAGCTCTAGAGAGTTTTTACGAGTAGTTATTAAACAAGTTTTCATAAATTGGTAACGTTACCTAACGAACGAATGACTTATATTTGCAAAATACACTGAAAGTCACCATGAATGGCATGATATACCTGCATTCACGTTTGGTTTGTCCTTCTTGTCTCCCTTTTACTCAACGTCAACAATCTGCTTGGCTTGAGGAACTATATGTTTAAAACGTTCTCCCGACCTAGGATAAAACTAATTGTAAAACGAAACTATCACAAATCCGACAAATATGCATTGTGCGTCTTTTCCCAATCATTGAAGACTATTTAAATAGTTTTCAGTCTTTAAAAACGGGCATTTGAATTGAGACATTTTTAATAAGCTGTCTCGTTGTAGCCGTGACATTAAGTAACCATTTTATATAGGTCAGTGATGATGCTTTGAAAATGGCAAGTACACTGACCAAAGTGACCTAACTTGTTATTCTAAATGACCTTACCTGTTTGTTACTATATATAGATCTTTTTGTATGTAGTTAGAGAGGTAACTGTTGAAAGGAAAATTATTTGACTCGTACGATATTTAATATATAGATGCACTGATGTATAATGTTACATAGGAGCTGAACGGTACTAAGGTAAGTCATGAAAAATGTCCAACGTACCCCAGTCTAACCACAACAGAGACGTTTTATTCGTCTCTACTTACAGGGATCAAAGAACAAACTTGTTTTCTCGTATCCGGAATTACGTCAGGTGTAGTCTAGCTCTGACGCCAGTTTTGACATTAGGCCTACACAAGGTTGATTTATTTTCATACTGTTGCATGTTCTTCTTCTTGTTATACCCACAGGGACCTGAGAATTTGTTAAAAATATCATAAAAATAATCTAATTCCGTGATCTAAACCCATAAAACGGAGTTATCTAAGCCCGTGCATAAAACATGTAAAATGACTCTTAACGCCTTTAGTCTGAGTTTAGGTCCAAATATAGATGTATACACAACGTTACTAACTATTCTTTATAAACTGACAAAAGTACAAAACGTTACTATATATAGTACAATGACAACATGAAATTATAATTTTTCTTTATACAACATCAACCATGAAAATGTATATATTCTTAATACAATTGCAAACAATAGTTATGAAACTTACACAGAAACAATGTACATTAATGTGACTGCTGTATAGAATGTAACAACTAAATCATGTAGCAGCTTTATAGGACGTTAAACATTATAGATAAAAAACACAGATACACTGTTATAGGATACTGTTCAAAAACGTAACTGCTTTATACAAAACAGCAATATGCCTGCTTAGTGAAAGCACGGACTTAGATAATCTAATTCCGTGGTGAAAGAAATACAATGTAACCACGTTGGATGAACAAATAGTAAATACACAATTTATCTAGAACTGCTTTAAAGAATGTCAAACAAATTAACTGTTTGACACTCCAAAAAGAAGCGATTGACATATTCACGATGATAACCACAATTAGGACAGTTGGAATTTTGAACCAAATTAACACGGAAAAGATCATATTTAAAACAACCAAATTAATATCTTGGGCTATTATATATAGTCAATAGTCTGTAATCTATAGTCAAACCAACACTCGGGTCAGTGCTGTTAACATACTCTGATATAGTTGCATGGGAACTATTACATGGTTGAAAAAGGGTTTGGACTAAAGTATCAATTAGGTCCTCGGGATTTGGTTATTATGTATTAATTAATTGTCAGACATACAAACAGTATCCGAATGAGTAAATGGGCGAAAAACATGTCGTAGCATAACTATAACTATAACCTATATCTAAATTGAGACACCCCCCTGTTAGCAGAAGATTGTGAAGGTTGTTACATTTAGCGAAAAAAATCAATGAGTTAGATTCAAGTAGAGTTTCCGACAATCTGATTAAAATCATCTGGTACATGGCTCCGCTCAGGCGTAGTACGAAGGTAACGAAGCCATGTAACATATGATTTTAATCAGATTGAGTTTCCGAATACCGAGTTCAATAATCAATGGTGAGTTATTTCCCTTGCTATGTGAATGAACCTTTTACTAATATCGCTTGGCTGTATTTTGTCCCCAAAATATTAAAAATATAAAACACACATCTTCGTAATATTATGGGCTTAGAGGTGTAGAATAAAACTTGACAGTTGTATAGATGCGATGTACTTGGCAGGGTACTATGTTTTGAACATACTTTATCAGTATTTTAGGTATGACCATTTGATCAAATTGCTCTTTTAAAAATAAAAGTTATCGATACGCTATACCATTTTTATTCGTAATAGGAATAAGGTAATGCATAATTTGAGTGTTTTGCCTTTTATGCTGACATTGAAGTGATATTAAGTACTATGTAAAGTTAGTAAGTGCAATCCAACCCTGGCAGTGTGTTACCACAGAGGAATAGATCTATGATACAGTAACCAGTAATTAACAACGTTCGTTCTCAAAACACCGCCGCGTGGTCTCACTGATCTTACTCATCGAAATTATCGTTAAGTTAAGGTAAGAATTTACTATACACGTATACAAATATTTCTCATCATCTCCATCACGGAGACGTCGACGTCCGCAATGTAGAACACGTGTTTGCATCCTCGTCACTCCAGGGGTTACTCTCACTTTCGCTCTCTTCACCCCTGGAATATGTCATTGCAAAATCGAAGGCTCAGTGTGCGCCACCTTGTAGATGAGACGAGAAGACTAGTTTGATCCTTTGATGTACATCAAAAGAATCTGTCTTTCGCGTAACGGTTAAATTGACTGGCTTTGAATTCGTGTGTCGCTCCTCTTTAATCTTTAAAAGACAGGTATCAGCGTAGCGATTGATCAGGGTTTTTGTACCTGAGACCAACCAAATAGATAGCCGCGTGTCTTCAATTTTGTTATGACATATGCTAGGGGTGCAGAGAAAGTGAGCGGAACCCATGGAGTTTCGAGGATGACATTTTGGAAGCCATTGTCATCTGATTATGTTGGTAAAATCGAATTAGCAGCAGATCAGCATCGCCAAACACAGCAGTATAATATTCACGATTCTTCTTGTTTTCCAGACATCGACGATGGAATGTACAGGTGGTGATGAGGATGACGTCACGAGCGATGATGAGTACAGTGACGATGGTTTTCCTGGGTATACAAATAACAACGGATATGGAACATCAAAGATGAACGCTATTCCGAACCTCCTTTCAGAACATGTCATGAACGAGAATGAACAACAGATGGGAAACCCGTGTTGTATGACGCATTCCTTTGTCAAAGCGGCCAGTGAAGGTGACCTTGAGACTGTTACGTCACATATAGAGAGCGGTATAGATATCAACTCAGTAAATGAGATGGGCGATTCTGCTTTATGCATGTCCTGTTACTATGGTCAAATCCAAATGACAAAGTATTTATTAAAGCTGAATGCTTCTGTCAATTACTCAAAATCAGATTTTGAGATGACCCCTTTGCACGCGTGCGCAAAGAACGGCTACATAGAAACAGTAGATATCCTGCTACAACACGGAGACATAGATGTTGATAAGAGGGATGCTTCCAACAACACAGCTTTGCACTTGGCTTGTCAGCAAGAGCATCTGGCTATTGTGCAAAGGTTGTTACGTCACGGAGCAGACGTAAATGCGCGCGACTGTTTGGACAGGACTCCACTCTTTGCAGCAGTAAAGGGACGTAGCAATGAAATCGTAGACCAGCTCATTCAGTTCAATGGAGACACGAATCTGAATGATGTAATGGGGAAGTCGATAATGCACTATGCAAGTGTTTACATCATCCAGCAATTAGGAAAAGGTCTAATCAACAGAAAAGATAATAGAGGACAAACACCACTAATGACGGCCGTTATACTGGGTCAGCCGAAGAAAGTCGATTTACTTCTGGCCATGGGAGCAGATCCTGATACTCCAGACATTACAGGCGTTTATCCTATCCAGAAAACAATGATGAAAGGCTTCGATGCGACATCCGTACAGATAGGTAGCAGTCTAAGATCGCAAAGCTCAATAAACCAATCAGATTTCCGCGATCCTTCTACACAACAGATGTTTCGGGATGCATCCGCTATGGAATCGATCTCCGGATGTGTGGATTACTTTGGGTACATACCATTGTGTCTGGTGTGCAAAGCTCTGACCATGAAAGGAACGAAGGCTTTGGAGGATGTTATTGATTTCAACTTTAACAATAAATTTCCACGGAATTCGTACGTTGCACCTCAAATAAATGCTAGCATCTGGAATTCAGATTTGCCCGGAATTGATCTCAAGGTAGTGAGTTCTTTGGAATCGTTAATGGAAGCAGGATGTGACTACTACCGAGAAGACAAGCGTAAAAACAGGCCATTGTTTTATTGTGTTAAGAAACAAAAAAAGTTGCAACTTTTCATGTCGAAAGGTCCATTACACTACAACGTTATGGACCAGAAAATGCTTGTGTTACATCACTGTGCAAAAATGAATGATGCTGAATCAGCAATAATTCTACTTAAAGGATTCAACACGCAGGTGAGGAATGTCATTGACAGTGTCGACAGGAATGGTGCAACAGCTCTACACATAGCTGCTGCACACGGCTCTGTCAGCGTTCTCATGAGGTTGCTAGAATTTGGATCAAGTGCAAACAAACAAGATAAGCACGGGAACACGCCTCTTCATTTTGCTGCATTCATACACATGCCTGACTTATATAGGTTTCTAGTGAGGGAAGGTGCATCTCTACAGACAAAAGATAAAGCAGGTGAAACTGCTCTTGATATCGCAGCTAAATGTCGATGTTATCCCCTTTTGGAGGACCGGGAACGAATCGTCATTGAAGAGCGATTCCAAAACCGGTTCATGGCAGCACGTCACGGCTTTAGCTTTGGTGAGGTGGTTTATATTCCAAGGAGACACATGAACAGTATCCACATCACGGACCAGGAATTACATTGCCTCCTCAATGAGAAAACAGTTGGAGAAAAAGGGGAAAAGAAAACTAGTGGATCCTACGTCCGAATGATCAAAGATACTTTTGGATTAGGCAGCGTTGAGTATCAGGGCGAAGCTTTAGACGTCAAGAAAGCCATATTATTATACATACACAAAGTTGCGTTAGAGATTGCTAAAGCTGATACACGCTTCAGAAACACCGTTGTTTTTACTGGGAGCTCTGCAGATAACACCAAGGTTGGCTTTCCCAACGAATTCGACGTGATGATTGTATTGGATCGATTTAGTGAAATCTGTTGTGAACTATCCTCGGATAAGAGAGAAAATACACTGTTCGTTCCCCTGAAGATTCGACGAGATGCACACACAGTGGATTTCTTTGAATTCATCAACGATGGCTATTTGGCAAGGAGAAAAGTCTTCGATGCTTTTGGAGAACTCCTATGGTCTGTTTTGAGTCACATGCAAGCTCCTAGTCAAATGTTTCCATCCTTATGGAAAAGAGCAATGGTAGCTGGCCCATCACGAAATCCTGTAACCTGTCCCATCAGTCTTATTTGGCGAGGTCTACAATATAAACAAATGGAAATAGATATCGACTTTGTACCCGCCATACACTGCAAGACATGGCCGTCCTTTGTGCAAACTTCAACAACAGTAGATGACGAAATCAAAAGATGTGGCATCCACCTAGTTGCGAAACCATTAAGGACAGAAGTAGTCATGGAAACTACTAACTCTGATAATTTGTGGCGGATGTCCTTTTCTATGGCGGAACGGATGCTCATAAACAGACTTCCGGAAGAGGTCAAGGACGTATACCGCGTATGTAAGGCTCTGAGGAATAGCGAGGTGTGTCCTCAGATTGTGTTTACCCCGTTAAACCCTCCACCTCCCTTGTTCAGTTTTAATATTATGGAAAATATCCCATCATATTTCTTGAAGGTAGGAATTTTTAATATGATTCATGCTCACAGAACAACTAAGTCCCAAAATGTTCCTGTCGATGACCGTGTTTTCGCTACTAGTCGACCCTGTGAGGAGGCGCATGACTCCACGTATGTAGGGGGCGAGACCGACGTACATGAGATGGATGACAACAAATTGGACGCGGTCGCGTTATACAGCTATATGGCAGACGCCTTCCAGTCTGAGAATCTTCCATACTTCTTCTCTCCTGACTACAATCTTCTGAGAGAGCGATATCTAAAACATAAAGCTGCTGCCGTTGACATTTGTCGTATGCTGTCGGAAATCGCATCATTGTGAACCTTTATCTGCCGCGACACAAAATGTTTCAAGTGCGGATACTGTTTTCATTACATGATGTTCTCTACTCTCTAAGCTTATGTTATAAGTTCTGTCTTTAAACAAACGCCTGTAACACATACAGGGAGAAAGCAAACGTCTACAAAACAAACAATGAGAAAGCAAACGTCTACAAAACAAACCATGATATAACACACACTTACAACACAGAACGAAGAGATAGCAAACTTCTACAACATTAACCATGAGATAACACACACTTACAACACAGAACGAAGAGATAGCAAACGTCTACAACATTAACCATGATATAACACACACTTACAACACAGAACGAAGAGATAGCAAACTTCTACAACATTAACCATGAGATAACACACACTTACAACACAGAACAAAGAGCTAGCAAACTTCTACAACATTTACCATGATATAACACACACCTACAACACAGAACAAAGAGATAGCAAACTTCTACAGCATTAACCATGAGATAACACACACTTACAACACAGAACAAAGAGCTAGCAAACTTCTACAACATTTACCATGATATAACACACAC